GCTGGGGATCTCTTACTCAGGATGATTTTTTTTTCTAGTTCCATGTATTTACCTGTGAATTTCATGATTTTATTATTTTTTGTTTAATGTTTGAGTAACGCTCTATTGTGTAAATGTATCATATTTTCTCTATTCATTCTTCTGCTGAGGGACATCTAGGTTGTTTCCAATTTCTGGCTATTATGAATAGAGTAGCAATGAACCTGATGGAGCACACTTCTCTGTGGTAGGATGAAGCAGCCTTTGGGTACATACCCAAGAGTGGTATAGTTGGATCTTAAGGTATGTTGATTCCCATCTTCCTGAGGAACTACCACACTGATTTCCACAGTGGCTGTACAAGTTTTCACTCCCACCAGGAGTGGAGGAGTGTCCCCCTTATTCCATACCCTCACCAGCATGAGCTGTCACATTTTATTGATCTTAGCCGTTCTAAGAGGTGTAAGATGAAATAACAAAGCAGTTTTAATTTGTATTTCTCAAATAACTAAGTATGCTGAATATTTCTTTAAGTGTTTCTTAGCCATTTGAGTTTCACTATTGAGAATTATCTGTTTAGATAGATCTGTGCTCCATCTTTCAATTGGGTTGTTTTCTTGATCTCTAATTTTTTGAGTTCTTTATATATTTTGGATATTAGCCCTCTATTGGATGTGTCATTGGTAAAAATCTTTTCCTATCTGTAGGCTGCCAGTTTGTTCAGAGGATGGCATCCTTTGTCATATAGATGCTTCTCAGTTTCATGAGGTCCCCCTTATTAATTGTTGATCTTAGTGCCTGCACAATTTGTGTTCTGTTCAGGAAGTTGTCTCCTGAGCCAGTGAATTCAAGGCTATTTCCCACTTTCTCTTCTGTCAGGTTCAGTGTATCTGGATTTATATTGAGGTCTTTTATCCACTTGGACTTGAGTTTTATGTGTGGTAGTTTGAATGTAATTGGCTCCCATAAGCTCATAGGGAGTGACACTATTAGGAGGTGTGGCCTTATTGGAGGAAGTGTGTCATTGTGGGGGTGGGCTTTGAGGTCTCCTTTGCTTAAGCTATACTCAGTGTGAACCTCAGAGTCCTTTCTGTTGCCTGTGGACCAAGATGTAAGAACTCTCAGCTCCTCCAGCACCATGTCTGCCTGCATGCTGCCTTGCTTCCTGCCATGATAATAATGGACTAAATCTCTGAACTGTAAGTGAGCCACCCCAATTAAATGTTTTCCTTAATAAGAATTGCCATGGCCATGGTGTCTTTTCACTGCAGTAGAAATCCTAATTAAGACAATATAGATCTATTTGCATTCTTCTGCATGCTGACATCCAATTAGACCAGCCCCATTTGTTAAAGATGCTTTCTTTTTTCCATTGTATAATTTTGGTTTCTTTGTCAAAAATCAGGTGTGTGGATTTATGTCTGGGTCTTTGATTTGATTCCATTGACCACATGTCTATTTTTATGTCAATACCATGAGTTTTTTTTTTTTTAATTACTATTGCTTTCTGTAATAGAGCTTGAAATCAGGGATAGTGATACCTCCAGAAGTTCTTTGAGTATACAGGATTGTTTTAGTTATTCTTTTTTTCTTTTTCTTTCTTTTTTTTTTTAACTTTTATTTGCATTTATTTTATGCTGAATTTATTTCCATGCCATAAGTTTTTGTTTCTTCAGTTTCTTCTGGGATGTCTTTTTCTTCTGCGCAACCCCCTCTTCTGGCTTTGGAACACTTTGTTCCTTTCAGTGAGGATCATCTCCATGTGGCAGGGGAGCTCATGTATGGGTTAATCCAGGCAAGAGCTCTGTAAGTTCATCAGCACATCTAAGCTGCTTTGTTCACCTGGGCGTGTTCAATGACTGGAGAATCTGCATCTAAACCCTTCAGTTCAGCATCGCTCTCTGTGTTTTCAAGTATGTGCAGCAAAAATTTGGCACTCTTTTTTTGACCACCGATCATGTGTTCAGCCCCACTGTTTGGCCTGGGTGCACCTACCAACTCCACCATTATGCCACCGGAAAGACACACATTGCTTCTTTAAAGTGACATCTCTCAGATATTTGGTGGCTTTTCGCATATGCATACCCTTGATGGTCTGGGCAGTTTCATGGGTGTTCTTAATGTGAACCAGGAGATTTGAACCTCTTGATTTGCATACTTTTGTAGGGTTTTCTGGGTCAAGAAAGTAGCTAACCATCTTCACAGGTCACCTTAGGCTGCTTACAGGAAGAGCCTTTCTTTTTTTAAAGATTTATTTATTTATTTAATGCACACTGGTGTTTTGCCAGTATATACTCTATATAAAGGTGTCAGATCCCCTGTAACTGGAGTTACAGACAGTTGTGAGCTACCTTGTGGGTGCTGGGAATTGAACCCAGGTCCTTTGGAAGAGCAGCCAGTGCTCTTAACAGCTAAGCCATCTCTCCAGCCCCAAGTATTGTTCTTACAAAATCTGTAAAGAATTGTGTTAGGATTTTGATGAGGATTGTGTTGACTGTAGATTGTTTTTGGCAAGATGGCCATTTTTACTGTGTTAATCCTTCCCATCCATGATCATGGGAGATCTTTCCATCTTTGATATCTTCTCCAGTTTTGTTCTTCAAAGACTGAAGTTCTAGTCATACAGGTCTTTTACTTGCTTGGTTAGAGTTACACCAAGATATTTTTATATTATTTGCGGCTATTGTGAAGGGTGTTGTTTCTCTGATTTCTTTCTCTGCCCATTTATCATTTGTACATGGGAGGGCTACTTTTTTTTTTTTGAGTTAATCTTGTATACAGCCACTTCTCGGAAGGTGTTTATCAGTTGTATGAGTTCCCTGGTAGAATTTTTGTGGCCCCATATCATCTGCAAATAGCAATATGTTGACTTCTTCCTTTCCAATTTGTATCCCCTTGATCTCCTTTAGTTGTCTTATTGCTCTAGCAAGAACTTCCAGTATTATATTGAGTAGATATGGAGACAGTGAAGAGCCTTGTTTTGTTCCTAATTTTAGTGGAATTGCTTTGAGTTTCTCTCAAATTTAATTTGATGTTGGCTGTTGGTTTGCTGTATATTGCTTTCATTATGTTTAGGTATGTACTTTGTATCCCTGATCTCTCTAAGACCTTAATCATGAAGGGGTGTTGGATTTTGTCAAAGGCTTTTTAAACAGCTAATGAGATGATCATGAGGTTTTTTCCCTTTCCATTTGTTTATATGGTGTATTACATTGACAAATTTTCATATGTTGAACCAACCCTGCATCTTTGAAATGAAGCCTACTTGATTATGGTGGTTGATCCTTTTGATGTATTCTTGGATTCAGTTTTCAAGTATTTTATTGAGTATTTTTGCATCTATGTTCATGAGGGAAATTGGTCTGTAATTCTCTTTCTTTGTTGAGTCTTTGTGTGGTTTGAGTATCATGGTGACTATGGCTTCATACAATGAATTTGGCGATTCTCCTTCAGTTTCTATTTTGTGGAATAATTTGAGAAGTATTGGTATTAGTTTTTCTTTGAAATTTTGGTAGAATTCTGTGGTGAAACCATCTGGCCCTGGATGTTTTTTGGTTGGAAGATTTTTAATGACTGCTTCTATTTCCTCAGGGGTTATAGGTCTATTTAAATTGTTCATCTGATCTTGATTTAACTTTGGTAAAAAGTATCTATCAAGAAATTTGTCCATTTCTTTTAGATTTTCCATTTTTGTGGATTATAGGTTTTTGAAATATGACATAATGATTCTTTGGATTTCCTCGTTGTCTGTTGTTATATCCCCTTTTTTGTTTCTGATTTTGTTAATTTGGATATTCTCTCTTTGCCTTTTGGTTAGTTTGGATAATGGTTTGTCCATGTTGTTGATTTTCTCAAAGAACCAACTCTTTGTTTCATTGAGTCTTTGTATTGCTCTCTTTGTTTCTATGTTATTGATTTCAGCCCTCAGTTTGATTATTTCCTGTTGTCTACTCTTCTTGGGTGTGTTTGCTTCATTTCGTTCTAGAACTTTCAGGTGTGCTATTAAGTTGCTAGTATGAGATCTCTCTACCTTTTTTTATGAAGGCACTTAGTGCTATGGACTTTCCTCTTAGCACTGCTTTCATTGTGTCTCATAAGTTTGGGTCTGTTTTACATCCATTTTCATTGAATTCTAGGAAGTCTTTAATTTCTTTCTTTCTTTCTTTTCTTTCTTTTTTTTTTGTTTTTTTTTCGAGACAGGGTTTCTCTGTGTAGCTTTGCACCTTTCCTGGGACTCACTTGGTAGTCCAGGCTGGCCTCAAACTCACAGAGATCCACCTGGCTCTGCCTCCCGAGTGCTGGGATTAAAGGCGTGCGCCACTACCGCCCGGCCTCTTTCTTTCTTTTTTGCAGTTTGAAACCAAATATTTAATATTTTCATTAAATTGTTTCAATATAATTTCAAAGAAATGCCAACTGGGAGACAATGTCCAAAAACTCTGATGAAGCAAGCTTTCAGACAAGGAACACCAAGAGGACCATCTCCATT